AAGCAGGCCTCGGTTACAGTCTATACAGCCTGCCTTCCTGTGACCTGCTTCTTCCAGGTCCCACCTCCCAAAAGGTTCCATAACTTCCAAAAATAGTGCCATCCGCTGGATACTAAGTGTTCAAAGACATGAGCCCATGGGGGAACATTCCACTACTGGGCCTCGTAGGCTCATGATCCTCTCATAGTGCAAAATGCATTCATTCCAACTTCAAAAGTACCCAGAGTCTTACCAATGTCAGTACTGTTAAAAATACCAAAGTCTCTTACAAAACTCAAAGCCATCTCTTAAATGTGTTCCCTGTCAAATCTAAAATTAAGCTGAATACATTCTACCTCCGATGGCACAGAGTAAATGACCCATCCCAAAGGTGAGAAACAGAGGCATTTAGCAAGGGAAGACCAAAGCAAAACTGAAGCCCAGCAGGACAAACACGAGTCCTTTCATGAGGGGCATCCGGGACTTATTGTGGCATCCTCTAGGCTGCAGAGGGGCCTACTCTTCAGCACTGCTATCTGCAGTATGCATGGCCTCTCTCTGGGGCTGACTCCACTTGGTGCCTGAAGCTTTCCTCACCAGACATCCCACAGCGCTAGAATCATCAACATTCTGGAGTCTCCATTGCAACCTAGATGCCTTCACAGCTTCATACAGAGCCCACTCATGAGTTCCATAGAAGGAATACAATCCTGCTACCCATTGCTTGACTTTATCAGCTTCTGCTCTGGAGAGAGAGAGAGAGAGAGAGAGAGAGAGAGAGAGAGAGAGAGAGAGAGAGAGAGAGAGAGAGAGAGANGAGAGAAAACTGGTATAGGGCGACCAGGCAGGGAGTATAGAGTATAGATAGGTTGGGCAACCCGAACAGGAGAATTCTGGGGAGAGGAAAGGCTGAGTCTGCAGTTGTCACCCAGACACAAAGGAAGTAAGATGAGAATGTCTCACTGATACAAAGTACCAAGCCATGTGGCTAACACAGACAAGAATTATGGGCCAAGATGTAAGAGTTAATAAGAAACCTGAGCTAATACGCCAACCAGTTTATAATTATTGTAAACCTCTGTGTATTTCTTTGGGACTAAATGGCTGTGGAACTGGGTGGGACAGAGGTGCACCAATGTGGGTAATTATATCCACATAAAAACCTGAGAGAGCTTGAAAAGGAATCCTAGTCACAAAAAAAAAAAGAGTTTAACACAGTTTCTTGCTCTGTTTGCTGGTGGCTCCTTTAAGAGAGGTCTTCCTCTCTTAAAGGTGGTATCAGAACACCCCCTACCCCCATATGGTTTCAAAACAGCAGCTTCCTGGACCGTGCTGTCAGTACAAACTCTGGCTCTGTTAGGAGGCTGAGCATTTAAATGGGGTTTGTGGGCAGTGTGCTGCAAGTTACTTGGTGGCAGCATGGGCCAACTGGCTATCAGAGTTGAGGTGGTGAGGACGGCTCCTACTGGGCAGTCTCAGAGGCAGTGAACAGATGTCCACCATGCTAGTCTGGGCGGAGCCAAAAGGCAAAGCAGCCTTAGTACTAGCCAAGCTGCTTTAGCATTTAAGAAGCAGTCCTGGTCAGAAAAAAAGTACAGATGCATGATAGGACAGATTCAGACTTAAAGACACAGTGTGTTTACAAAATGTAAGTAGGCTTGGAAGAGGGAAGAAAAATAGTAAAGAGACAGTAAATGAAATATGAAAGTACAGACAGTCATAGATTAAAGGACTAAAGATAATAAAATAAATATTAAACTTGTAGAGTAAGAAAAATAAGCTACATAAAGATGGAATATACACAGAGAGTTTGGATTATGTATATTATTGTGTTTCCTTTGAATTTTTTTGACTGTGAAGGAGCTAAGTACAGAGAGAAGTTTCATTGTATGGGCTACTAAGCTAAACCAACCTATATATTTTAAAGGTATCTTGATTCCCAAAATTTGTGTCTAAGGATTTGTTGCTTTGGAAGAGAGGTTCTCCTTTTGTTTCCACAGAAAATGAGAATCTATGGGTTTCTTCCAGACTAATGTGGTTTGATGAACCAAGAACCCCTGAAAGGTCACTGTGAACACCTCCAAAGTTACTTCACCCAACAAAAAGCAGGAAGCAGTTTGGAGAGAACTATGCCCAAATATTGTTTAAAATGTTTGTCTACATTAAAAGAGAGCTATGCTATAGAGATTTGCATTGGTATAGATCTTGGTCTAGTGATACAATTTTTAGGTCAATCTTGTTATATGTATATTTCTGCTCTTGATTAAGGTATTGTGATTGTGCCATTCATTTAAAAATGTAATGTATAATTAAGGAATACAGGTTAATAAATAGTCATCTAAAATAGTCAAGCTTGTAGTCATGTGTTAGTTAGGTTTTCTAGATATTTAGAGATATATTTCAGTTAGATGTGTATTCTTCAGATCTTTAATAGACTACAAAATATGGCATTTAAAATATTTTAAGAACTTAGACTTTTCATGACAATGACACACATCTGCTCCTGTCAACACCAATCACTTCAAGAGGAAGATGGGCAGTGAAGAGACTCCTTATGGAGTTTGATAGCCATTTGGGCAAGAAACTGCTCTTTCCTGAACTGCTTCATGGTATGCTGTATGAACTGGACATGCGAGTCCCACAGAAAAATGACTGCTGAACTTGCCTAAAGGTGAGACCATCCTTTAGGGTTCCTGCTTCATGAAAGAGTCTGCTAGTGTGACTGTTTTCCTCTCAGATATTCGGGTAGTCTTTATTTATTAAAATACAATTGAAATGCCACTACAAGAATGTTTCATGAATGACATCTAGTCCTGTTCCCAATAGAGTGCCTGTTCTCTGAAACCTCAACAGCATGGCCTCTACTGCCCATGTTCCTATAGGCATCTTGGTCTTCTGTTCTCCCACTGAATGCCCATCAACACAGCATCATAAAGCTTCTCTAGCCTGCAGCTCCAAACCCTCCCACATTCTTCCCACAAACCAACTTCAAAGCCTAAAATCCACATAACCAAGTTTATAATTTATGCTTCCTATATGTCTTGGTCACTGTTCTATTGCTGTGATGAAACACCATGACCAAGGTAACTTATAAAATGAAGCATTTAACTGGAGTCTTGCTTACATTTTCAGAGGGTTAGACCATGATTAGCAGGGCAGGAAGCATGGCAGCAGACAGTCATGACATGGTGCTGCAGAAGTAGCTGAGAGCTCACATCTAATGTGCAAGTTGAGGGGGAGGAGACTGAGCCAGGCATAGACTTTTAAAACCTCAACCCCCCCCCAACACAGCTACTCCAACAAGGCCACACCTCCTAATCCTTCACAAACAGTTCCACTAACTAAGGACTAAACATTCAAACACATGAGCCCATGGGGCCATTCTCATTCAAACCACAACACTATGCTAATGTAATCTTGAAACATACTTGAATCAGAAAATTAAGTGGACGGAAACAAAGATGGGAAAGAAATATACCTTCTGCCTTTCCTATTTTGTAATATGTGTGTGTGTGTGTGTGTGTGTGTTCCTATTTTGTACCATGTGTGTGTGTTCCTGTTTGGTACTATGCAATGCCTACTTTAAGAAAAATAATCAGTGTTAGTGACTCGAATAAAGAAATGTCAATCGTCCCCCAGTTCTCAACCCTGCTCAAATCTTTCCTCTTTCTTGCTTTCCCACCTATTCACCTGTACCTCTTCAAGAGCAAACCTGCATTTCTTGCTGCCAAATGAACTTAGCGGCCCATTCCTTAGCTCATATATCTGTTAGAAGTCCTCATCCTATTAGGAAGAGTTCTGAAGCACAGCCAGCAGTTTTAAGCCAAATTCTAACTACCCAGGAGTCCAGGAGCCGACTCAGATAACCAGGACCCTCGTTATGCTTCCTCTTCTCAGAAATGGGATAGCTGCAAGAATAAGATGAACACAAAATTCTGTTTATCCTGTTGTTAATTCCTACTTTATTTGAATCAATCTTTGCAACTAGAGTTGTAGTTTCTTGAGATCAGAGACTACAAACGGACACCCTAAATGTCTTTGCGCTCTTGACCTTGCAGTGCAGGGGTGAGCACATCGTGTATCCTCTACACCAGTAGCATGGAAGGCTGGGTGCTGGGAGGCTCTCACGTGGCTGGGAACTCAAGGCTGGGGTGCAGTTGCACGAGTGTGCTACGTCAGCATACCTTGGAGGAGGGCGATGTTTACCGTTGCTCTCCACCTGCACACTGCAGATCGACTTTCTTCCCCGAATGGTGTCCTTTAAAGATGCTGCCACCTTGGCTGCAGCACATCAGCCACAACCAGCCCCTCAACTAGTTTTGATCTCTGGTAACCCCCTGTTTGAAACATCAAAGTTCTCCATTTCAATGCCGGGACCATGCCATACCCTCTAAACTCCTGTGGGTCTCCGGGTGTGGACTTAGTGGAGGTCTCTCTCCCAGTCACTCTTTCTCATAAGGTTCCCCGTGTGCCAAAGAACTCAAGATTCTGAAGACAAGCAAATTGTGGAAGGAGGGAGCTGAACGAAGAGGTTTCTATGGGAGATGAAGGAAAGGAAAGGAGATAGAGAGGTTGGTACCTATAGCCTCGTGCTCCATCGCCTTTACAGATGACCACACACACACACACATACACACCACACACGCACACCCCCCACATTTACGCACACATATGCACACACAAACGCACACACACCACACACACGTACGCGCACATATGCACACATGCACACACACCACACACACCACACACATACGCACATATGCACACATGCACACACACCACACACGCACACACACACGCACACACACACCACACACGCATGCACACTTCTGCAGAGCGAATTCCACTGGAACAATCTCTGTGGAACACAGAGCTTTGTGATGCACTCTGGCATCCCAATTCTATCCTCTGTGAGGCAGCCATGACAGTGTCCAGTACTGAGAGCCATTAGGCACTGAGGCCCCCAAATGACTAGATGCAGAGGTGACTGGTCCCCTCATGCTGACGAGGTTTAGGTCATGTTGAGCTCTGTGTGTACTCTGTGGGACGTCGGGTATCCTTTATGTACCTATAGCTCCATCTTCATCATTTTCCTAATTACCTGGCAAATAAGACGGAGTTACCAGGGATTGAGGTTGGAACCTAAAAAGAGCTGCTGCCGGGTAGGAAAACGCTGACTAAACTTGAACTAATTTAAGCCTAGCTAAGTAACTTTTAAATGCTAAGTGTTCCTTCAGATTGCCCCCATTTTGTGCCAAAGGACTTAGAAAAGAAAGCAAGTGGTTACAAAAGACCCATAAATAATTCCTTGAAAAGGCAACAGCCTCCCTGTTTGTCTTGAGTTGAGAATTAGACAATAGAAAAACTACTGCCCTGGATCTCAGAAGACCCCTCCCAGTGGGGACTTGGAGGACTTAGTGAGCAGATGTCCTCGGGCTGGCACAAACTCCTTAGAGTCTGTTCAGCTTTTCTCCCTGTATCACCCTCTCTACAGAAGTTGTTATGAGAGTAGAGACGTAAGGAAGGAGGATAGAGAGCCTTACGTGAATCAGAAACAAGCAGAGAAGGGAAATGTTTAGGTGGGAAGGAAGGTGGAGTCTAGGTAAGGCCACATAAGGGAACATGTAACATAGGGAAATGTATACTATCTTTCTAAGGGAGCATGTAACATATAGGGAAATGTATACTATCTTTCTAAGGGAGCATGTAACATATAGGGAAATGTATACGATCTTTAGCTCGTTCACAACAAGAAGAAAATGGAGTCCTACCTTCACACTGTAATATTTTCTCTTTAAGCGTCACCGAAAAGTCAGGCAGAGGGCTAGAGATGCGGCATCAAAAGGTAAAATCCCAGCGTCCCCTACGCCCTGTCCCGTGGAGAGCTCCCCACATTCCTCTTCCCCATGATGCTGACCAGGGCCACACACTCTACCTTCTGAAAATCCACTTCTCCAACCTGGGATTGACACAGAAGGCTGCTGTGGGTGGGAACGGAGAACATGGGGGGTGTTCTAAAAGATTCTACCTAATTTCCTCGAGAATAGGCAATTAAGGAAGTAATACAGATCACTGTACAGCAAGAGATAAATTGGGATTTACTGCTTCCTCTTCTCATGCCGTGATGGCATGCATAGCAGAACACGGAAGCAAGGCTTATTTGGGCTCATAGTTTCAGAGTTTGGCAGTCCATCACAGCAGGGAAGTCAGAATGGCTGGGTGACTTGTCTCAGCAGCAAGAGCTTGCAGCGTGGCTTCTTCGCATCAGGGTACATCTGGAAGCAGTGTGCAGGCAGAGCGGAAGGGGGACTGTAATCCTTAAAGGTCCACTCCCATGGCCCTACCACTTGCAATGCATGTGGGCTGTCTCTAGGACTGGCTACGCTCGGTGCCAAGTGCCACAGTGGATGGAACTAAGGGACAAAATAAACCTAAGTTACTAATATCGGGTATTTTGTCATAAAAAAGAGAAAATCTGATTTAAGAACTAGGTTTATGATCCTGTAAAATCCAACTTATTTGGCATGATCCTGGTGCGTCTCACGTGGTTGTAGAGATAAATGAGACTGGCAAGGAAGGCAAATTTTAGACGGCAATGCTAGATACAAACACGTGCCTTGTCTGGGTCTTCAGCCTCCTTTTCCTGAGCCGAAGGCCTTCCTATAGAAGACCCTAAAATGCTCATTCATCATCTAACACCGTGTCCTGATCCTTCAGCCAGGAGACTTTCCCGAGAAGAAGCTGAGAAGCCGTGGGAGCTGCTGTCTATCATGAAAAGGTGACCTCTTGCTTGACCTTTGTGGTCTAAACTGTGATGATTTCTTGGCCTGGTGTGGGCCGGGGGTGAGCAAAGGGATAGTTCCATCCACTTGCCTGCAAATTACCTGCTCTTTTCTGGAAAAGGGAAACAGAGGAGGAAAGGAATTGTGGGAAAAGGGAGGTGAGAGGGAGTCTGGAAGGAGTGGAGGGAGGGGAACTTCTGTTGGGATGTCATCTATCAGAGAAGGAAAAAAGGGGGTGGAGATTGATGGAAGGAGAAACACGCTGAGGAGGCGAGGTCACCAGCTGAGAGGTTGTCAGGGCAGAGATGGTTCACACCTCAGGAGGGAAGACCCACAGATACCCAGCTCCCTCTGTTAGGGTCTCAGCGGTTCTGCATTTCAGAGCCACCTTTACACACTTTGCGAAGGGCATCGCTGGAGTTGCACTGAGACACCAAGTAGATTTAGGGGTAAAGAGGTCCCCTTGTCACCTGCTTCCAGCTACTCCCTTCCAAGGACAGAGCCCCGGGTCTGACCTGTCTGTCTGGGGCAAGGGAGCAGTTGCTGGGACCCCTTCAGTCCATCATCTTTGCCTCGACTTAATTTCCAGAGGCTGTGAATGACCCCAATGGTTCTCTGGGCACGGCAGCAGGGACATCCCATACTTTGAAGGGTTTCCATGAGGACCCCATTTGCCACAGTGTAGGCTCAGAACTGTAGGCCTGGGGGAAAGGGTACAGCAAGCCCCAGACAAGTCCTTCCATCATTAACGGTGGCTGTTTCTCTCTTCCTAGCCAAAGCTGGCTCCCCAAGGAGGAGCGTGTGCGGCAGCTCCTGTGTATAGATCCCTGCTGCCAAATCTGTGATGCTGCAACTCTAGAGATCCGGCAGTTGCTGGAGAGCGAGCAAAGTCAGATCTCCCCTGCTTTGTTGGGACTGCCACCGGACTCTTCTTGCCTGGAGATGTTGACCATATCCAGTGAGACTTTTGAGCAGAACGTGGAGCTCCATCCCAGACCTTCCATACATCTTTCACTAGCGTCTGAAGCTTCAGCACTAGCTCAGCTAACAGATCACTTAGCACAGCCACCCAGTGCAGCCTGTGTCCAACAGTGCTATGAGGAAAACCTCCAGCTACAGCAGAAATTTCACCTGGCAGACATGCCCGTGGTTCCAGAGACTATGGTTCCTTCAAGGTTCGAGGATCCTGTGGTTTTAATGACTGAGAAAAAAATAACGCCAGACAAACCAGAGGTTGACCAGAAGAGCCAAGCCCACCATCCCTTGAATCCCTCTGTGACTTTACTATCCCTGAACCCGGAGATCGCTGACTTGGCCCATACTATGTCATTGGACATGGGTGCACTGCTGTCTTCCCACATGCCCTTTCTTAGTCCTCAAGTCTGCAGGCTTCTTGAAATACATGTAAAAAAATGGATACATTTTCAGAAGTGGGGCCTCCCCAGACGTGTGGAGGAGTCCTTGAGGCAGCTTATGCCAGACCGAACAGCATTTTGTCAATTTAGAAAAACTCCTTTCTCTTCCTGTCTGAGCAGTGGCTCTGAGCTCACCGTGGACAAAGTGGGGACCATGTCCCACCACACCAAAAGCTTGAGCTGGGCAGACCGGCCCATCCAGGCCTGCTGGGTTTCGGAGTGGTCCGTTGTAAGCCTGAAGCAAAGGAAGCACTGGCACCAGATCCACGCCTTTTTGCCCTCTCGTGGAGCTGAACACCTAAGTGGCTTCTACCCACCCCCCAAGGCACAAGCTAATGACTCGGGGAGCAATTTTCAGGGGGAATATTATAGCCAGTTATTCTGTGGCCTTCCGTCTCTTCACAGCGAGTCCCTGGATGTCCCTTCCTTGAGCTCTCAAGGTGGATCCGAGAACAAGACTGTGTCCAAGCCCTCCTCCGGGGATCCCACAAGGGAGCTCTCACTCCCCTTCTTGCCCCGAACTCCACGTCAGTCAGCCCCTCCTTCTTTCTCTTTTTCTCCAAATGCCAAGACTCCCCATGAGCATAAAGGCGCAGGGATGGATGTCCCGGTTCTGACTCTGGCTGAGTGTGAAGCATTGGAATGCCACCTCCTAGACAGGCAAGTCAAGCTTCGGTGGGGCCTGCGGGCGGTCGTCCTGAGAAATCGGGACACCCGGAGTCACGTGCTGTGTGAAGCACGCGGTAAAACTAAGACTGTAAAAATCACCTGGCCCTTCTGGCATTGCACCAGGGAAGCTTCCTTCCCAGAGCATGCGCGCAGGCTGTTGGATTTCCACCTCCAGAAGCAGCTGATTCACCTGCGCTGGGGCCTGCCCCAGAGGATCCAACGCTCCATTCACTTGGACCAGCAGCCCCGGTCCTACAGCAACGGGACACTACCCAATGTGAGCATCCTGCAGCCAGGCGACCCAAAGGCAAATGGGTCCGGTGACACATTTGCAGTTGCAGTGGACAGAGGGTCAGTTCCCACACCTCACTTGTTTGGCCAGGCAAAGGCAATATTGAAGACCCACATTGATTCCAAATGTGGACAGATCCATCAGGGCAAGGTCCCTGCCTGTGTCCAAAGCTCCTGGGAATTCTGCATTCCCAGGAGCTTGTCAGTAGGGACTTCCTTCTCAAACATTCCAGCAAGCCGGCACCTGGAGCTACAGGCAAAAAATACCCCTGACCTACATCACACAGCTGTTTCTCAGGAAGCAGAACCAGCAGCCCTGGACCAGGAGGAACAGGCCTCATCAGGCACTCTCATTGAGCACTGTAAGAGGCCCAAAGCCCTACCTGAGGAAACTGTTAAGAAACTGGAGACAACGTTGCAGCATAAGTATCTGGCCTTCCTGTCAGGCCTGCCTGCCCTTTACTGCGTGGCCCTCTCTAGACCCTCATCCCCAGCAGTCACTAGCAAACCTAGAACCACAGAGAGGATGTCCTGGGCTGTCAAAAACCCACCAGAAACTCTGTCCCACACAACCTCCCTCCAAGGTTCACTTGAGCCATGTACTCGGGACAAGGAGGCTTCTGCGGACATTGCAGGACAGGTCCAGTCTGAAGTGCAGGTAGCAGGAAGGACAGGGAAGAGGCCTCCAGACAGCCCCAAATTGTTAAACACACATATCTTGGCGAGACTGAATTTCCACCTGAAAAAGAAGGTCCTAGAGATGCAGTTTGGAATTTCCACAAAGGAGAGGGAGTACAAAGAGCTGGCCATATCTGACCTAGAGAGTGAATCTATACGGGAGTTTCTTAGGAGTCTCAGCATCCCAGAAAGCACAGCGCTACCACAACTGCCCAACTCAGGGGACTCTCCTCCGGCCCCAGATGCAAACAGGGTCCACCTTGGTAAACAGCCAGCCACTGCAGGGCAGGCCATGTGCCACAAGCAAAAGCAACCTAGTTCCAAGGCAATGCCCCATGGTTCTGCCCAGTGGGGCTCCAAGGCCTCACAACTCAGGAATATGACTGAGGCCCAAGTGCACTGTGTTCAACTGGAGACCAATGGGGAAAAACCCAACCTAGAGAAAACCTTTAGCACTGAGCCTCAAAGCCGAGGCAAGAGCAAGTACTCAGCCCATGTCCCCACACTGACAGAAAAGAGACACGAGTCAGGGAAACCCAAGGCAGTGTGGGACCTTGAAGAAGGGGATGCAGGTCTTGAGCTTCCCCTGACCAGTGGGAAGACACACCATGATGGAGAAGAGGAGCTAGAAAAGAGGCCTCCCCCTGAGACACCCCAAGGCTCCTCAGAGCAGAGGCCTAGATCTCATCTTGAGGATCCCTGTTCACCCAGCCCCCAGGATCTCTCTGAGTTTGAATTCCCAGATCCACCTCCAGAAGTCCTTATGGTGATAGACGCTACACAGAACATGCAAGACAGTCTGACCAAGGTAGATGCCATCCCGGAACCTGCAAGGAGTGCCAAGGTCCCCCAGCCTGTGGCCTCCAAGACTTTCCAAGGTTTGCCTTTCCCATGCCCACCAACTCAGGGAAAACCTTTTAGGGGCCAAGCTTGGCAAGACCACATTTCACAGAGGTGGGTGACGCCAGCCTCTCCTCACGCTAGCCCCAGCTTTCCAGAGGCTGGCTTGAAAAATAAGATGAAATCCTTCCTTCACTCTATGAGCCCCAAGATAAAAGACAAAACCCACATGGAACCCACGGTCTCTCCCGGGAAAGTGTCCAAACCCGGTCAAGAAAATGCTGACAAGGGTCTGCCTCAAGCCAAAAACCCCACCAAGAAAACTAAGACAGAGAACTGCAGGGTGCCCAAGGCCCAACCTGCGTCCTCTGAGAGGTCAGTGATCGCAACGTTTTTAACTGCTCCCCACATTCTAGACAGTAAGCTCGGGCCAGGCTCTCAACAGCACGGCTCTGTCTCAGGACCAGGCCAGCCCCGGCACTGTCCTCGGCACTGCCCTAGATTGGCTCGTACCACCCAACAAGCAAACCCACCCTAGGACCCAAGGTTCAGCTCAGAAATATTCGTCTGGTAAAGGAGAACCCCCAGTGTGACGACAGTTTCTAGGCTCCCCGACTTCTGTATCCCTTTAAGAGCACTATTATGGTCATTTTCTTTAATGCACACGTGGGGAGTGCACCACCCAAAATAGATTCTATATCTCTAAATGAGGTGTCTGTCTTCTTTGTCTCTGGTGCGCATCATTGGGGGAAAGCATGAAAGAAACGGAAATATCTGCCCTCCTCTCAGGAAGGAGATGTAAAAGCACATTTTTAGACAAGTCAGGTGTCCCTACCCCACCATAGAATGAATTAAAAGACTTGATCAGGAGGGAAGTCTCTTGTGTAACGTACACTAAAAGTAAAGGTCAGGCTTTACTTCCTTTCACTGAACTCTTGGCCTTTCTCGTACCTCTGGCCAAAGAGAAGGAGATAAAAGAAAAAAAAATCTGAGATGTTCTTGACTTAATTAAGAAGACCAAAGGCTGGAATGAAAAGGAAATAAAGGAAATTAATTAGTTAGCAATAAATTAGAGACCCAACCAAAAAGACTGTTCTTATTTATGAGCCTTTCCTTAAATCCCATCACCACCAGGGTTACTGAGCCCTATTTACACCTGAACAAGCCAGATGATTATCTCCAATCAACCCAGAAGAAACTAGTTGCCCAGTATAGTAGCACAAGCCTTTAATCATAGCACTCAGGAGGCACAGACTGGCGGATCTCTGTGGGTTTGATGCCAGCAGGGGCTATACAGTGAGACCCTGTCTCAAACACGTTCCCAGAGCCTACCCTCCTTTCACAAAACATTGTCTTTGCCGATGACCTTTCTCCTCTCATCTCTAGCCACCATGGGACACAATGCTTCCCTGGAAGTCTATCAAATGTTCTTAGCTCCGACAATGACTGTTTCCAGTTCTCACCTACCCTGCTGCTCTGAAAGCTATGGAATCTTTCCCAGGAGTGGATTCCTTCTGGCTGGTGTATAATGGCTCCATGAAGTCCTTGATTTCAGACACTCCTTCATTTCTAGCGTTGGCTGGCAGTCGCTCATGCACAAGGACATATTAATAATAGTCGCACCCGGGGTGTAGCTACAGCCTCCATTCATGTCACTGATGCTATGGAGCACAGGGTTCTGACACAGGAGGGCGCACTCAGAAGAGGAAGAGGTCTCCAGAAGTTTGACTTTGAGAAAGAGCTGGGTACTCAACAAATATATTAACTGCGGGCCAGGTGCTTGACTCTGCGTTAGGAATCACACTAAACACAACATAAATAAATAAAACACGGGCTGGGCCACAACCATGTTTCAGAACTCATGCAGTACTCGTTTTTGCATATCCAAATTGCCTACTCAACAGATCCACTTGGAATCCCACTGCTCACCCCCAACTCTGCAGAAACGAACTCACAAATCCGGCCTCCATCACACCTGTAACAACTGATCCGGTCAGTGTTTCTCAGGAAAGTATAATGGTAGCCCTATCTTTCCAGGAGTTTGGTCTAAGCAATGATGCCATCCTTGACTTTTTTCACCTAAGAGAGTACACATTCAGTTCACCAGCCCATCCTGTCAGCTCTACCATCAAAGTGCATGCAGACTCAGGTCCACTGTCACGCCCTCCGCTGCCATCATCCCCACCATAGTGTGCACAGAGACGACCATATGCAGTTGGGAGCACACAAGTGTTAATCTGAAAAGGCTATTAGTACAATTTTAGTTCGGAGGACATTGGCTTGGAATTTCCCTAAACTTAGCATTTCAGGAGGCTTGGAGCCATAAATACATTCTACATTAAAAAAAAAATCTAATAGGGCTGGAGAGATGGCTCAGTGGTTAAGAGCATTGCCTGCTCTTCCAAAGGTCCTGAGTTCAATTCCCAGCAACCACATGGTGGCTCACAACCATCTGTAATGGGGTCTGGCGCCCTCTTCTGGCCTTCAGGCATACAGACAGAATATTGTATACATAAATAAATATTTAAAAAAATCTAATAATCAGATCAATAGGTCTTCTATAAACTTTTTATCTTTAACACGGAATTTAAAATCTCTGGCACAGCAGAACCTATAATTTGGTGATTTTGTCTCTGATGAGTCTACATAAATCAGTTTTAAACATCTTATCAGTTTAGGAAGGAATAGTAATGATCATAGTAGATTTATCTGATACACAGGTTTATCTCGTACAGACTGTGGCAAAAGTGATTAAAACAGCAGACGAAGACCAAGTTTCCAGACGGGAGAGATGGCTCAGTGGCTAAAAGCACTGTTCTTCCAGGGGACCTGGGTTCAAATGGAGGCTAACAACCATCTGTAACTCCAGTTCTATGGGATCTGATGCCCTTTTCTTACCTCCAGGGGCACCAGGCATGCACATGGTGCATAGCCATACACACAGACAAAACACGCATACATATAAAATAATAAATCTCAAAAAATTTACAAAGATATCTCCTATTCCTTTAAAGAAAAAAGGGGAAGGCCAGGTTTTGAACATATAAAGCAAAATTTCCCAAATGTTTCTTTTTTCTAAATAAAACAAACACAAAAGGCAGTATTGCTGAGAATTTTATTAATGGTTTTGTGTTGAAGCTCTAGATGCCATGCATAGTATACAAAATAACAGCACTTACTGAGTTCCTCTCATGGCCCAGCCTTCTGTGCAGACTTTTGCAGAACATTTGGATGAAGCTTAACACATGACATATTAAGCCTGCAGATGTTTGTATATAACTAGATACTCGATAAGGGGCATCAAATATAGTTCAATAACCTAAAATAATAGGTGTTTATTTAACTAGAGCCAGAAAGTGATCATTTGAAACAAATACACATTCCTTTGAGACTTAATAGATAAAACATCATGTTTATTGACTTAGCAACCGAGGGAGGTAGAGACATATTAATTTTAAAGACATCTTTGTTTTTTTAATCTTACCAATAAATTTAAATTAACACAATGTCAAAGATTTACCTAAATCATGTGAACCAAAAGGCACTTAAGGCATCTTTTTTTAATTTTAAGAAGTTTTTATTTGTATGTGTGCATATGTGTATGTACCGTATGAGTGTCTGGTTCCCACAGAGGCTATAAGAGAAGCCCCTGGAACAGGAGTCATAGCCAGTTGTGAGCTGTCATGTGGGTGCTGGGAACTGAACCCAGGTCCTCTAGAAGAACAGCCAGCACTCTTTAACCACTGAGCCATCTCTCCAGCCCCCATTTCGGGATGATTTAATTATTTTAACCTGCATGAACACTCACTGACCTATAAGACAATTAGTACAATGCAAATATACAAATACAAGCATATATGTAGATAGAACATACAAAACACAGGTGTATACAGCCATTCATAAAATAGCTGACAAAATCCACAGACTGGATCGCTTTCACTTAGGTACATCATTTTGTCCATTTTTTATTCTCTCACTCTCCCCCCCCCCCCAGACAAGGTTTCACTGTACAGCTCTGACTGTCTGTCCTGGAACTCACTCTGTAGACCAGGCTGGCCTCAAACTCACAGAGATTCTCCTGTCTCTGTCTCCCAAGGGCTAGGATTAAAAGCATTAAACCACCACACCCGGTGGTTAAATCTGCACCTCTAAATGTCATAAGACTGCATAGAAATTTACTCAAAAATACTGAGCTTTATATATAAACACCATTAAGAAAGCCTTGGATAAAAACCCAGTGGAAATCAAAGGTCAGAGAGTGTTGCACCACCTTGAGTGGGAACTGTCCCTGCTTTTAAGAGCTAATAAGCAGGCAACAGCCTTTCAAATGGAAATGTCTTTTGATGTGAATTTTTAAATGGCTAACTAAAATGTCAGGTAGACATTCTTTAGAGACCTGTCTAGGTAAATTTCAATGCTTGATGTAACTCATTTTCTTTTCTTGATTTATTACTTTTATTTTATGAGCATTGATTGATATTTTGCCTGCATGTATATCTATGTGAGGGTGCTGTAACCTCCGAAACTGTAGTTCAGATAGGTGTAAACTGCCATGTGGTGCTGGGAATTGAACCCGTGAACCCGGGACCTCTGGAAGAGCAGCCAATGTTCTCAAGCCCTGAGCCTTCTCTCCAGATCCATAACTCATTTTCTAGTCAGATTCAGTCCATCAAGGAGGAGGCCAAGAGACCATCCATGCTCACCATTCTCCAGAGCGCCTCCTTGAGTGTCTTGCATCTTTCTTAACCTGCCTTGTCAGGTCAGGAGGAAATCCCACAGAACACGACCGCTTAGAAGGTCGGGTGTGGTGGTGAATCAAAGCGATTTTCTTGACAAATCATGAAAGAATTCCTCCAGCCCAAGTATCAGCCATGGGCCTGTACCACTCATTGACACTCTCCTGTTCCTTATTTCAGAATAGGATTGATGGGCCCTGGAATCCGGGAACTAGTCATCCTCATGCAAGAGGAAATCAGGAAAGAAAATTCTCAGGCGGAAGGAAACACTAAGGTGAGGACAGGCTGTGGAGATAAACATGGTAACAGGATGTATAGGATACCAAATCCTGATTCTGAGGCCAGAAAAAATCCAGGCAGATGCTCATCTGATGCCAGAAAGATTCCAGAAAGGTCCTTGAAGAACACCACGTCTCCACCAGAAGCCTCAAGTTTACAACTTAGATTTCCTGCAACCTGCCTGGGGCGACCTCACAACAAGGTTGTTTCTCAGCCTCCTGGAAGCAAGTCCCCCACCATCAGGCAGACCCAAAACAGTCCACATCCTCTCAGGCAACCATCCCTACCTTACAGAGAACACCAGAAACAACAAAAGGCCGCCCAGAACTCTCTTTCACTGGTTAGTCACCCCCTCCACCCAGTGGGAAACAGTCACGACCCAACTTATTCCCCAAAGACAAGATTAGATAAGGCAGCATACTGTGTTCTCAGTAACAAAACTCTGACACTAGATAAGACCACCCAGGGAGCCAGTGAAAATGGCGACATACCTTAAGGACTGGGCCTTGGGATGCTGTTTCTT